TGGTAACTGTAAATGAAAATTTTTTTTAAATGGAAAAAGAATAACTCTTCCACATGGCATGTGATTATTCTGTAAAGGATAAGAAAGCACTTAAGCCTTTTTTTAATGAGATGAAGAATTCAGGGGAAGGCAATTTTGGACAGGAGAACTCAATTTATATTAAATGGATGTAGGTTGAGAACATGAGCTTGGGGGGGCCATTAACCTGAATTTGAATTCCTGTATGCCAAATTTAATTGTGTGACCTTGGACAAATATTTCAACTCTTGAAGGTGAATTTTCTCATCTGAAGTATGTAAATAATACATTGTTTTCACTTTCTATTTATTTATTGACTGCATTTCACAATCATTAGGCATCTGTTACTACCATTCTGCTGAAATTGTTATGATCACCAAAGACCTATTTGCCAAAAACAATGGACACATTTAATTTTTTATCTTACCTGCCAATTCTGACATTACTTTTCACTATTAAACTACAGTACTACCTAATATTTTTAAATATGTCTTTCACTGGCTTTGTAATAACAGATCATCTTCATGGTCCTCTTATATTTCTGTCTACTTCTTTGTCCATCTCTTTTGATACCATTTTTCCCTATGTCCTAAAATGAAGGGTTTCCTAGGTTTACAACATTTCTCTCCACATATACTTTCTCATTTTAATTCATACCTAAGTAAATTTTTCCCGAGATTTGGCACATGGTATCATCTCTACTAATGAACAATATGGTTGGTAGGAGAGATGGGTAGAGAAGAGATCAATATGTTCTGGAAATGAGCACCACTTTAGGGGATATTGTCAATGACAAAAAAGGTCAATGTAAACACTGAAGTAGCAAATACCCTGGGGCAGTGGTCGGCAAACTGCTGCTCGCGAACCACATGTGGCTCTTTGGCCCCTTGAGTATGGCTCTTCCACAAAATACCACTTGCGGGCGCATGTACAGTGCGATTGAAACTTCGTGACCCATGCGCAGAAGTCGGTATTTTGTGCAAGAGCCACACTCAAGAGGCCAAAGAGCCGCATGTGGCTTGCGAGCCACCATTTGCTGAGCCGCAGTTTGCCGACCACTGGTCTGGGGGAACTGATGTCTGTCAACTGACTGTATTCACTGAACCACAACTGATGTCAATCACTTAAAAGCTGCGGTATTTCAGATTTATTTTTTCCTAAGGGCGCACACATTCTCAGGCAATAGGTAATTGCATGAATGGAGTGGGGCAGGATACACTGATTTATGGAGTGCTTATAGATTATCCAGAAGTAAAGGGAAGATATTCCTGTTTTCTCATCATGATCCTCATGTGCCCTCTTCTCTTTTCCTTATTCTTCAACTTCTTATGTATTTGTAACTGGTTTCTGGAATAGTTTTTCCACCTCTAGTCAGCATGGCAAGTTGAATGATGTATCTGTGTGACTCCCAGAAACTATGGAGGACTAAGGGCTAGCTGCTTTCTGAGATTCAGCCCACATAAGACCCTCAGAGTGGGATGAGGGGATAGCAAATTCCTGTCATCCCTGCATCCCTGATGGAGACTCTATGCTTGCCGGATGCTATTGAGAAATTCTACTGTCACTAATGTCACACACCACATATTAAGAGACTCTCAAAACTGGGCAGCTATTCCCCCTGGCATATTTGGGATATGCGGGCAGTTCCTGGCACTGACAAATTGCCATAATCAAATGTCAATGTGGCTCCTGCTAGGGACTGCAGATAGCAAATAAGATACTCTTTTCTAACTTAGGTCAATCAAAAATATTAGGGAATCAAAATAATTCTAGCCAAAGGGATTATCACATAGTTTTGATACCTAAACCCTCTTCAGCTCAAATTCCAAAACCCATAGATCTGACTTTTATAACAGCATGTAGTGATAACAAGTCTGGATTTTCCCCTGCTTCCTCCATCTGGTCCACTTCCTGGCAACAGCTGGTCCAAAGAGGTCATTTGTCCCCGTCCCATATAATACATTGTGGCATTCATTTATCTATTCTCTATCTTTTCATTTCACGTGTTTTATTGGAAAGGCAATGTTAGAAGGTTAAGGGTTACAATGTTAGCAGGTAGGGGTTACAATTTATGATGATATACATATCACTTCTGCGCAGAGGTAGAAAAGTGTTGTCAAGCTGAGCCCCATATTAGCTGTGGTTCAGTGGATCTAGCCAGACGGCAGACATCAGTTCCCCCAGAGTATTTGCTACTTCAGTGCCTATACTGACCTTTTTGTCATTGACAATATCCCCTAAAGAGGTGGTCATTTTCAAAACATATTGATCTTTTCTCTACCCATCTCTCCTACCAACCACATAGTTCATTAGGAGAGAGGATACCATGTGCCAAATCTCGAGAAAAAATTTATTCTTGTTTTCAAAGATTTTTATTAAATGGAAGTGGTGCAAAGATTGTTATCACCGTATTCTTCCTGAATTCCTCTTCAAAGGAACCAGTAGTGATGCTTTTGAGAGAAAACAATATTTAAAAGACTGTGGACACATATAGATTCCACTGAATTTGGAAGAAACTAATATTTTTCTTGTGGTTATTTTTAATTGTTATCATAATCAACTTGCCAAAAATTGTTGGTTATATACAAATAATGCTCATTTGATTTGATAAGATCATAATTATAAAGAAGTCCTACTTTAAAGTTCCCTATAAAAGTCAAATTTAAGTTTATAAATATATATCAAAGGCGGGAAAAAAGGAGACATATGTAATACTCTTTGTAATACTGTAAGCAATAAAACAATAAATAAATAAATAATAAATAAATAAATATAAACTTTCTAGATTCATGAATATTAGAATACCCATCTAATTGTCTCCATCAGCAATGTAGTTTTACATCTGAGTCTTAATCTTCTTGCCAGAGCTGCTTGTGTAAAGTATATGCATTCAATCATTAAATTCTGGTATTGCTTTAGCCTTTCAGATATACATTTTTCTTAAAATATCAAGCTTCTGGCACCTGAGGAGACTTTTGTTGAGGAGTCTGTCTTCATTTTAATGGGTTTTTTTTGTTTGTTTTAGGAGCTTTCAACTCCTGTTTTTTCCTGTTTTAAACTTTGCCTCTGGTGCTGCAGGTCTCACACCCTGAGTCCCAATTCCACTGAGTAATCACACCCTTCTAAAATCAATTTATCAACTCTGCCCACTTGTTCTGATTTCTCTGGAATCTCACAAGTCATTTGAGATGGACATACCAATAACAATATTTCTTAAACCTTTTTACAGAGACAGACTCATTTCGGTTGATTAATTCCTTTCCTTAGCGATTAAGCCTGAAACAAATGTCTGATTGATTTCAAGAAAGAAAATAGGAATTGGTTCAAATTGGAAAGAAATACATCAACGTTCTAAAGGAAAGATAATAAGAAAGGGAATGAGATACTGAAGACAGTGACATAGAGCCAAAGGAATTATTTTGGGGACTAGAAGTAGAGACTAGAAACAGATGTAAATCGTGTGAATGACAGAATAAAGGTTGGATGCTGAAGAGTAAGTTGTTAACATTCATTACTGTGATTAATATTACTTTTGTTCTTTATTCCAGGCAAAGGCTTTGTGAATACAGACATAATTAAGAGTGAGATAATTCACAAAATCTTGTACATTAGGAAGGGAAATATCACCTGACAATGTGCTACAAGAAGATGGAGAGTAAGAAATTATGCTAAGTATTTAAAGGTCAGATCCCCTGAAAAAACTCTTCTCCACTTGTAAAACCTACCATGTGGTCCAACAACAGTGCTGCTCCCTTCCTGCTGACTGGCTTCCTGGGCTCAGAGGCAATTCACCACTGGATCTCTATCCCTTTCTTTATCATTTACCTCTCCATTCTTCTTGGCAATGGCATGCTTCTTGTCCTTATTCAGAGTGACCACAATCTTCATGAGCCCATGTACTACTTCCTGGCTATGCTGGCAAGTACAGACCTTGGGATGATACTAACTACAATGCCCACAGTCCTGAGTGTCCTGTTGTGGGACCGGAGGGAAATTGCTCAGCATTCCTGTTTTACCCAATCCTACTTCATTCATTCCCTGGCCATTGTAGAATCAGGTGTCTTGCTTGCTATGGCATATGATCGTTTCATTGCTATCCGATATCCTCTGAGTTACAACTCCATTCTCATCAATTCCCTGGTGATGAAGATAGGACTTGGGGTACTGATGAGGGGCTTTGTGTCCATTGTACCCCCAATTCTGCCACTCTATTGGTTCCCATATTGCCGCTCCCATGTTCTTTCCCATGCCTTCTGCCTCCACCAAGATGTTATGAAACTCGCCTGTGCTGATATTACATTTAATCGTATATACCCAGTTATTCTGGTTGCTTTGACTTTCTTCCTAGATGCTATGATTATCCTCTTCTCTTATATCCTAATCCTTAAAACAGTTCTGGGCATTGCTTCTATAGAAGAGCGAGCTAAGGCCCTCAACACCTGTGTCTCCCATATTAGTTGTGTCCTAGTCTTTTACATCACTGTGATTGGCCTGACTTTCATCCACAGGTTTGGCAAACATGCCCCACATGTGGTCCACATTACTATGAGCTATGTCTACTTTCTCTTTCCTCCATTCATGAACCCCATTATATACAGTGTCAAAACCAAGCAGATTCAGAGAAGCATCATTCGTCTGTTTTCTGGGCACAGTAGGGTTTGAGCCTTCATTTCAGAATCTTGAACTCTGTAGGATTTTTTGCCCTTTTCCATTATTGGAAGGGTTTTCTTTTCTTTTTTTTTCAGAGTTTAATGAGATTTTAATTATTACATAAAGCTTAAAGTATACTTGAATATATATGTATATATATGTGTGTATATATATATATATATAATATTAAGCCTGCTAGAGGCCCGGTGCACAAAAATTTGTGCACTTTGGGGGTCCTTCAGCCCAGCCTATGCCCTCTTACAGTGTGGGAACCCTCAGAGGATGTCCACCCCAGTGGAGACCCTCACCCCATGGAGGTTTGTCCAGCCTGGGTGAGGGGCTGCTGGCTGTTTTCAGGCTG